GCAGTTGTCTTCGTAGCGTTGCTCGCGTTTGGTGGAATCCCCGTGTGAGCGATGTTGAAGTCAAGCGAGGGGCATTAGGCAAGACAATCAATAGGATTGACGAGGTTGTAAACCTTAGTTGGTTCAACATGTACTGCGCATGCCTTGCCATAGCTTCCCTCGTCGTGCCATGCTAGAGGAAGTTGGAAGAGGGTTCAGGGTGGCCAGACTAAAACGTGGCACTAGTCAATGAAGTTTCTGACTGCTGTTTTGAGCCATATGGAGAGGAGTAGACTGCCTTGTTGGGGTCCCTGAAACGATAACAATGACTGGTCGAGGACTCTTGTCGACATGATTGAAAATCGGTCACAATGGTGCAGATGTACTCACTCTTTGATGTCTTTTAAAGCTTGAATATTCGTACTAACCTTTATCTTCAGATTGTTTATTCTCTCATTCTACTTTATCTGCTTACTTTGATATCGCCTGTTTTCTGTCCACCTGTTGTTTGTGTACTTCTGTGAAGTGTAGCAACTTGAGCAGATGCGAAGTTCTAAAATATTTTTGTCTATCTGACCCCACCTCCAGGTAGAGATATGGAGCTATTATCGGATGTGTTTGATAGCCTGGAGGATTGTGAATGTCTTGCGGACACACTCACGGTAGTGTCTGAAGCCTTAGTTGCTTTCTCGAGTTAGCTGTTCCTGGGCTCTAATCAGAAGTCTACGATAGAACGTAGAATCTCATATTCTATGTTCGTCAGGCCAACTACTATGTGGTAATCACAGGAAGACGTTTCGCTTTTTTGAAGGCAGAGATAATAAGTGATAGAAGCTTTTTAAATGGGACCGCATCTGACACGCACATACTAGTCAGCACTTCAGTCAACTTGACTGAAAATCTTTTAACTGATGAAATACACGTATTTATTCATTAAAAAGAACAAGGTATGTATCGCTGCTCTTCCTTGTTTCAGGTTATCTACAGCTTTCTTGAATTCTGCAAGTGTTAGGTGCCGTATTTGGATGTTTCATTTAGGTCTTGACAACGAAATAGTAGCTTGAGGCCGGCTGAACTGTTTTTCAAAGTGTCCCCACCATCGTTCCGTTTGTTCCTCCTGCAACTGAATCGCACACCCATCCTTCTTCTTTCTCGTCTCACTAACCGTTGACCTTTTTGCTCCAGTTTCCTTAATAAGTCTAAATAAATGTCTATTGTTACTTATCACCACTGCCTTTTCTTTCTCTACACCCTTTACTGCCCACCACTGTTTGTAATTACGGAGCAGACCTTTTGACAGTCCGTGTTTGAGTTGCATTCGTTTCTCATTGCACTTGGAGCGTGCAAGAGTGCATTTGCGTGCATGCAATAATTCAAAAGTTGTTTGTATTCATTGACACTTTTCAACCCTATCTGATAGTCGGCTACGGTCTTCAAATGTTGTTTTTACAGAAGATTGGAGATGGCGTCAAGCTTCTTCTGGATGAGTGACACTGTCGAGGTGATTTGTCACTAAAAGCAATCTTAGTGCTTGCATTATTGAGCTGCACTCCCAGTGGTTTCTATACTTTTATGACGTCCATTGAGACATAAACGCGCTGGAAACAATGAGTAGTCGCTGTCCAAACACAAGCTGCAGGAGTGACGATCTTTTACCGATCTTCTCCAGCGATGGCTGATAGTTATGTGGTCTATCACTGTACACTGATGAGTTGACGTCTATGGACACCGTCAGACAATGTCTCTTTTTGACTGAAGTTTGTGCTGCCCAAAATAAATGATTATCTGAGCACAGTTGCAATAGGCGATCGCCTTTATCTGTTTCTTCCGCTGGGACTTCAAAGGTGTCACCTAAAAGTGTCTTTTTACTTGACTAAGCCTACCCACGTCTAAGCATCTGGTTTTCAGTAGGGGGTTAGGGAGTTTTCGGTAGAATTCATTTTTCACTTCATTCAGACTGCAGTCAGTAAGCAGAGATTACAAAAATGCAACGACAAGTTTCACTACTTCATTTTGTCTTAATCGTGCCATTCATTCAAACAGTGCATAGGCGATGTCAACTGGGATTCAGCCAAGTAGTACACTTTTTGTCTTAGAACTTAAAGCTATACCTGCACCTGCAAGACCTCAAGGACAGACCATCGAATCTCCAGAAACTCGAAGGGTGAGTTGCGTGGATTTACTATTTTAACCATGTGAAGTTAAGTTAATAGCCATACTTAGATCCTCTATGTATGTTCCCCAAACACAGCCATGGCCTGAGTTGCTTCATTTTGGGCTAGTGAGGCTTGTTGGACGATTTGAAGGAGGGTGTGGACACTAAAAGCTTCAATATGTAGTTTACAGAGTGGTTTCAGGAGACCAGGTGTGCTGTTCGCTGAACTCAGATCGCTATCGTGAGCTGCAGAGCAGGAACAAATTATAGGTGATGTAAGATTTTCGACTGAGACACATGAAGGAAGATAAGAAGGTAAGGAAGTGGAGGGTGGACAATGATCTGAGTGAACTTGAGTTATGAGGGGAGTTGACACTTCCCGTCTGCCCATATCGGGGAAGGTTAGGTTTTCTTAAGGTACCTGAAAAAGAAGGGTTAGTGCCTGAACCCAAGGGACATTTGCCGGTCACACACAGCCTTTTTGAAAGCTTGAGGTTTGTGTTGTTCAGATTTGTATCAGACTACGAACCCATGTCGCAGGCGTTGGCATGTCGCGGCGTGACAGTTGTGCTAATTTTGGGGCCGACCTTCTTCACTGTCTCCTTCTCATGGAAGGCAGAATCAACGTGGCACTTCTGGTAATTCAAGTGAAACACCTTACTGCTGTCACACCTGTCCAACCAGCAGTAAGACTTTGCTCCCGGAATGCCCCTTCCATCACAGCGTAGCAATTTACACTATAATGGTGACTGTTTTTCGTTTTGCCACTATCCAACAGAGCTTCCTCGTATCGTAGGACGTCGAGCGTTATAACAGCATAACTCGTAGGGTTATTGTGACATACCGACCTGCACATCACGTCGAGGTATCAGCTATCAGTTGAGGATGTAATGCGTAGCACTGCAGCTTATCTTACTGCATTGTCGTGAAATACAACTATGAAAAATGGACGATATTCGACCGCAACTGCTGCTTTGTTCCCGTCCGTTGGAATTAATGAGCGATACATATGCTAGATGCAGAGTAATAATCAAATAACGTAAGTTATTGAATGAAGATTTGAACCGTCACTGAACTAAGCACTCGGCTTCTGACTAAAAGATTACGTTACTTTGCATACTTCGGCTAAGGCAACCGAATAATACAACAAACCCTCATGAAACAAATGTGGCTCATAGCCTAGTTCATAAAACCTGTACTAAGTTAGGTTACATTATTACTAATGAACACTCATTGACTGATGCACATCAAGTAACTAGTTATTACTTTACCTTGACATACCGTCCTAGCTGAAGACGAGTAAAAGAATGAGTAACAAGGACGAGCAGAAAAAATGTGGCTAACTGCTGATATGCACTAAAGTGTAGGATCATAGAAATACCGGGAACAATAAGTGGCGTAGACGTATCTTCAGATTTGGAACGTATTCTATATTTTATTTCCCACATCTTGTCTTATTACCTGGTAAACCTTCTTTATCATTATCGACATTATTCTTGTTGATTCCTTTTCATTTTATTTCACCTGTGTTATACAAACGGGAAAAATGGACCAATAAGTTACGCCATGCCTTATATTGTTGTTAACTCAATTACTACAGTGAATTAGACTTCACAGTGTCCCGACGAACATCCGTACCACCCATCATTTTCCCCTCTAAGTGTTGAACATACACTTTAACTGCCAAACACCAGGTCGTTATCGTTCACTGAGATAATACATCATGATAGAACATTCACAAGACAGTAACAATCAAAAGACATCTATCAACTGTAGACATGACCAGTGAGACATGTAACTTTTAGTATGCAGTTTGGATTCATTACTCAGTATTTGCATTTATCAGATATAATATCTTAAAACAATTAGTTCCCTTGATAAACTTCGACAAAACAATAAGAAGACGTAAATTGTCTGAACCGTGTAATGTATTTGCGCAACACATTTCGAACTATCTGATCACACACGTACTTGTCATAGGTATTTATATAAAAAAACTCATGAAGATAAGGGGTGAGAAAATAAAAAGGGGGTCAGGTAGGAAGGCTGACTTAAAGGCCGAATAACAATGAAAATCATTAGTTTTTTTATATAAATACCTATGACAAGTACGTGTGTGATCAGATAGTTCGAAATGTGTTGCGCAAATACATTACACGGTTCAGACAATTTACGTCTTCTTATTGTTTTGTCGAAGATATAATATCAATATTTTTGTGGTTTTACTATTAGCCAACTAACAGGCAGAATCTCAATACTGTTGAAGCATAATTCCTCAATATGTACGTATAATTGCAGGACCTGAAGAAGTAATCGAAAAGAATATTCTTTTTCCACTCAAATGGCTTTTGAATTATGGTGGGAATTCTTAAAAGTCGTAGCATTGTTAATAACCGTATAATATCATAAAGATTGGTAACAAGTCGCTAGTTTGCAGGTCTTGGTGTGGCAACTTGAACCGTTGTCTGGTCATATAATGACGATTAAAGCGTTTCCTTAACCTAAAAGGAAGGGATAGTATATAACCGAACTGGTGCCCTGAGTAACGCTGGGTAGATTCTTGCAGTACGCAATGCTTCCCCTCTGTATTGGCTGAAGACTAACATCTGGTTACTGAAACCCCGGTAGGTGGGGTTGTAAATCACTGCCTAGTTCAATGAGCAGCGACTCTGCATATGGATATACACTGTTTGGTAAATCATCTAGCTACTAAAAACATTACTTCTCACAACCACGCATCCATAGGAACTATAAGAAGTCATATCAATATGCATCATGGGAAGATTACAAAGTTTTAAGTCGAAAGAGTCAGAGTTTAGGCGGGTGAAAATTCAGCTATTCTAACGATATGCGATAGCTTACTTACCTCCATATTAAATGTATACCTTGATTCAAGCACAGTCATGCATGCAAGACTACCACTACCCATTGTAATGTAAGGTAGTTTGTCACTTGACCCATGTGGAGCAACACTATACAAGTGTGGGCCTGTCGAATCAACGCCACCGAGCACAAGTGCAGCACCAACGTAACCCTATACATTCGCAATAATGCAGGAAAACTACATACTTGGTATTGGAAAAGATAACGTTTTAGTAAGCGGAGTGGGATGATAACACGAGGTGTTCTACCCGTATTCAAACGGTGTAGTTCGACCTGCGAAGAAATCATCATAGTAACCATTTGGGTATCGGCTGCAGTCCCTGCTCCACAGCAACTAAAGAATCTTAATTATTAAGGTGCTGCATACTAAATATTTTTTGAAATGTAGTGAATCTTAGAACAATTCTTTTCAGCAACTATGTTTCCCTCCGTCGCTCTGGTATCTGCACCTAGAACCACACCATCCTATCATATTTATTTCCTAATAGGTAAGTAAATAGTACCTTGAAAACAACACCGCATATTGTTGTCCCAGTCTTTACAGGTTTCGGAGCTTGATAGCCTTTCTGTTCGATAACTTTATTTCTGTAGCGGGGAAATAAATAAATGCACGAGTTGCTAACCTGTAACAATTGTCAAACGAGAAGCCGCCAGGCTTTCTATCTAGGATCATAGAACCCATGATTCTGCAGATTTTCGTAGACCCGCTTGAGAAAGGTCACAGTATTGACTGCTTCAAACTAAAATGGTCCAAACAGTTGTTGGTGGAATAGAAGAAGCTTTCGCTTAACTAGCTTCCGCATCTACAATCCATGTGCAAGTAAAGAAAGAAGAAAACGTGGTGATTAAAATGTGAAAATTCAAGCATGATTTTGTCAAAGTGACGAAATGAATGTTTCATGGGTCTCACTTCAGTATAGTCAAAGGGAGTTGACTTTCACTGCATTGTTTATATGGAAGCTATTAGCAGACATTAGAGTGAAATATTTCATCAAGAGTTTAATTCACCGTTTGACAAGTGTTTTAATATTCTTGAACAAACCCCAACGTAACAGGTGTATAAGTTGAAGCTCGTGACTGCAGACTGATAATAGACGCCATGCTCATGTACGCTATCAAAGCTTTCGATAAAATGTCCCATGCAAGATTGCTAGGAAGGCTCTTCTCTCTCAGGTTTGGTACTGAACTAGCAGGATTTGATTAAGGACTTTCCGAACTACAGAAGACAAAGAGTGAGGGTTAACAGAAGGTAACATGTGATGGGTGTGTTCCTTACGGGGCAACCCCAGATCCCCTCCCCTTCTTGTCAAAGGATTACCGGAAGTGCCCTACTGTTCCGTGCCGCTATTCGGCGACGACGTAAAAGTCTGTAGGGTGGTAGGTAATGATACCGATCGCATACTATTCAAAAGGATTTGGATGGACTGGTAGGTCGATTCTAATTGTTTATGCCCGGAATTAGCTCTGGTAAAAGTGTAACAGCCCACACTGGTCATAACTTTTTCCAATATTTGGTTGCAATCTGAAGACTTCGGTACACTGTGGTGCAGCTGCAGCAAACGACTTTCGCGTATTGTGGTCCATTTACAGAGCTATGAAAGGATCATTCAGGATGTGTTCAGGATGCTGCATTTTTCCTACCTTAGACCCACTCGGAAAACAGCACTTAGCCTGCCAGTCCGCAACTAAAAGGAAAGCCAACTTATTCCAGCATATTCAGAGGGCAGGTAATAAGCTTTCTACGTGTTTTTCGAACCTGCCAAACTTCTCCAGGTCTTCGAATTTTTACCTCGGGCCAATTAGTCCCGAGAGAAAGTAGCTTCATGCCCAATCAGTGATCTGATTATTTTCTCCAGCATCGCAAAGCTTCCCGTTTTCCAACACTAAGGCTATCCACCATGACGGAAGCTAAAGGTGAGTGTGACTTGTGTGCCAGGAAGTTATATGGCTCTCCTCGACAGATGAGTTGTGATCTGTGGTTGTAATGGACCGGCTGCCCACGCGACTGCTTGGTACCTGCAGTTCCTGGTTTCCGTGCTGGACCGAATCACTCCACCTCTGTTGGTAGATGGGCTCATGTCACTCTATCTGGCTTTTTGGTTACTTCGACCTACTGTTGAAACTCTGGTGGGGTTATCGCTGTTGCAGACTGCTTCCCACAAAGCCATGCTTTAGGATAGACCAATGTAACAGATGGAGCGAATTCCTGATTTCATAAACCGCGAAAAAGAAGTGATGAGAGCAAGGTAAAGTAGTGTATCATGGGGCTGGAAGCACGATGTGTAGCATGCCTATGCAGCCTAATCAACAAAGCGTGAAACGAAACCGGGATTATTAGACGTATCCACCTACGGAGTGAAGGTCCTGGAAACGTAACCTTAGGGACTGATTCAAAATACTCAAAAAATGCCCCCACCTATACAAGAACTCAAAGCAAGGCTCAGAACCCAGGAAGGGAGTTCAGATATTAATATAACATGGGATGAGGCAAATGAAAACAATCGACAACAGATCTCTCAAACATCATTTCCATGTTCTTTCATTTTCTCCAGAAACATTGCCAGTTGGGAGTCACTTCTTCTTGGGTTCACCTCAGTAGCACTTTACGCTGAGCTACAAGTGTCTACTCATAAGTTTCAGATAGTCTGTAACAGAAGTGAAGATTCCCCTTAGCTAGCTTTTGTGTTTGATGGCAGTGGATAAAAATTCACATGATTGCTGACCTTTGTACAAAACACCGAAAGGCGACAGGATGGCGAATAGCACGGGAGAAGTAGGTTAGTCGTGACTGAATACAGGTCTGCGTTGTGGGTAGGTGTCAAGTCAGAGTTCAAACGATCCTGACGAAGAAGCCTACTCAACGTCTGCAGAGCGATCGTCCCAAGAAAATGCAACTCTTAGGAGGCAGAAGTCTCGACTTAAATCAAACCCGTTGTCTTCTAGGATTTACCTCTGTGGGTATCGGCTGAAATTGTCGTCCCAACCAAGGCTAAATGATAGACGAAACGAGTGTTCACGGTTCTTTAGGATAGCAAGAGGCAGATTCAAATCCGGTTGAAAGATCTTCAATCGTACTGTCCAAAATTTCATATAGTAGTTACAGGCACTAGTTTTCTATTGGGGCATTTCTTTCACATTTTGCCTGGGATTTCATGTACTGCAGATTGAAATGCCCAAATCCTTTGCCTGTGACACTTCTGGTTCTGCGCCACTGAAATTGCTCACATAGAACCCCAAGTGTCCTGGACGTACAGCAGTGCATTTCTAAGGTTTGGTGCAAGTCTACTGTTAACTGTCTGTCAAGATAAATCCTTCCGAAGAGAAACATTACATTAGTGGCTTCTGATTTCTCTACACAGTTTCATGTGGCTGCCAAAAAGAAGGGTTTCGGGAGGGGACTACTGAGTTTTGCGTAGCAGAAAGAGCAGCTCCAATTCTTGGTCCTGAAAAACTTCACATGGATATTCTGTTTCCACAGCAGAAGAAAAACTCATCGGAACTCCGGATAAGAGGCCGAGTGGGTACGTGAACAACCACTTCATGCGTGATGGGTGGATCCCGATTATTTGGGTTCATCGTCGTGGCAGTCGTGGGTAACACAGAAAAAACTAAATAAAAGTATCAGCTCCAACTTCGTTATGGACAATACTGGTTTACCTATCTACTGCAGTGAGCCTGCCGGTTACTCAGAAGCACTATTTACCTATTCTATGCCGTCGGGGAGAAGAGAAGTTATCCATCATGAGGTGATCCTTTTATCCTTCATAAACTAATAACGCTAATTTGGAAGATACATCTAAGAGGATCGTTGGTTCGAAGTTCTGTGGGTTATTTCATTGACCTCCTATAAGGATCTGTTACTTGACCTGAAACGCCAGGGTTGTTCACTTTCCCCCGATGCGGAGAATGGTCTGGCCAAGTTAGTTTTTCCGTCTTGCAGCAATGCTGTGTCAATTTCTTTTGGTTCTGGAGAGGTATCCTATGTAAAAAGGAACAGGAAGCGCTACAGTTCAGTCCACTGCCCCCTACCGGTGCGAAACATTTGTTTTAGTCTCTCGGGATGGCGCGGGGAGGTGAAGAAAAATTTTCAGAACAGAAGCAAGCATATTTATATGCTCAAGTTGATTTCACTGCCTTTAGTTTCTGAGCACACCCAGACCTTTGTTTCTTGCTGGTTTAAATGGTTTAAGTGCTATCAAAATTGCTTCTCTTGAGTTTCGGCGGGTAGCATCTCCGGAGACTCGTTTTTAGATTGTTTAAGCAAGCACGACGTCCAGTCTGTTTCTCAACAGGTGATTTTATATTGCAGGTCATCGAGCACCAATCTGGTGATAGCCCGGGACAGACCAGCTCTCTCCACTGAACGGAATAAGCCCATCTACACTCGGTAACTGGACTTCTTTGGAGCACCCGGCATGTCTATCGTGGTATGCTATGTAGGGGACTCCGGTTTGTGAATGCACATGAAAAGTTAGCCAGTGGGTCTGAGGGTTAGGTCAATGACTGGCAAACCCAAGGGTTCGGTCATGTTTGTCTTATTGGTTCCCTATGGTCTGTGGAGTGTTTCAAGATTACGTTCTCAATACACCCCATTGGCTGCTTTTACAAATGAACTACCAGCCAATCTGACTTATCTGCAAATAGCAATAACTGAGGGTTCAAAGCTATCAAAAGAAACAGGGGTATAGTATACGGTGAATTTCCGAGACGGCTAGAAAGGAATCCATATGAAGCTGCTGACGCTCAACATGCGGAAATATAGTCTTGGCGGACAGGTGTGGATCTAGTTCATTATTTTACCACGGGGTCGGAATAAGTATCTCCTATCCGAACATCGGAAAGGATCTTGATGTCACCCTAGTGGTGCACTGGAATGCATTTCTCATTGTTGTTTCGGGACACCCAAAGCTAATGGAATTCTGAGATCCCATATATGGTGCCGTTCTGTGAGAATATGACATGAGGGAATGTAGGCAAAGATCCATACTAGCTCGCTTGCAGTTAGGCCTCGCCAGCTGTGAAATTATGTTGCTGAGGAAGCTGTGATTTCACCCTCATCCGGTTCTTTCGAAAGACGTTTGGATACTGACGTGGAGTCATGCGATACAAACCTGACGTGCTCAGGGACCTTCAGATCTTCTTACAGGATCTGGGAAGCTGCAGAAAAACAACAACACCTTCCTTTCCTTAGGTTGCTCTCGGCTGAGGTAGGAACTGCCAGCACTCCAAAGAAGCAGTTTTTCAGTAGTTGACATAGAACATCTCCTAGGCATTTTTGGAACACGAAGTTTGAGGACAGTGGTTGCTGATGAGACTTCAGTCAGTTCGCATTTAGACACTGATTCTTTAGTATAGTGACAATCATTAGCTATATCCAAGGGGAATAAAAAATTACCCCAGCATAGCCAAAGCAAACACCCGGCTAAGATGGCCCAGATCAAAAGTGCTGGGAGAGGTTGCCTCGGATTAAATATCCTCAGAGATGCTTTGCAGCCTTGCTTACTCCAACACAACGGCATTGTTGCTCATCTTAGTGGATGTTGAGAAAGCAAAAACTTTCTTGGGCTGGAACATTGGGTATGCTGGAGATCACACTCACCTAGACCACAAATGCCAGGGTGAATTTTGATAACTGTGTGAACATCTGGTGGACCTGGCGCATGATACGTCAACAGCCGATTAGTCTTATTGAATTAGCCGATAATGCATGGTTTTCAGCCCTGAGTGACTTGCATTTACTTATTGGTAATCACTTTTGCGGATGAGTCTGTACAAACCAC